CCAAAATATAAGAAAAGAAAAGTTTAAACTCTCGGAAGAGAATGATCCAATATAATAGATATAAAATTCACTCTCAAGAAGTCTCCAAAACTCTAAAATATGCAAGCAAGGGAAATGTAATAGCTTCATCTGACTGCTCAGGCAAGTGACAGTTAAGTGATATGTTCTGAATTTAAATTCATACTTAAAAATTAATAAAACCTTTATCATTTGAATTTAAAAAGAACAAAACCAAAAACAAACAAAGAACAATAAAATCAGGTAAAACATGCAATTGTGCAAAGTTCATAAGTTGAAAAACTATCTCTAACACAACTTATTTTTTTGTAATAACATATGGGCTTTTTATAGAGTTATAAATCTTTCAACACAGTTGATTTCACAATAGCAAAAGGACAACTTTAAAACTGAGATACAATATGTTATTATCCTTGCAAGAACAAGAAGAATGATTGTGTGATTAACAATGCCAGAAATCAAGTCTGGCTATAGTTCAACGATTTAAGTCAGAGTTACTTTCTGACCTTGTAAAAGCTGTTTATTGATGAATTATTTCTCTATCAAAAAAATAAAAAAATGCAGTCTGTAGGTTACATTCAGATACATTTGTATCAACCACAGTTAAGTCCTTGGACAAACACCATACTATTCTGAGCGCTGTTGCTCTATAAAGTTATAAAAATGTGCATTCACTTTTTATTAGTATTGAGATTATGAATGATCTTCACATCAATCTCTCAAACAGATCCTTAATTAAAAAAAAAAAAAAGCTAAAAGAAGTGATTAAATTTTAATTAAATAATGCATTACTACACAGCAGCATAGAATTACATTACTCAAAAGAAAGAATCATTTGTATGTTATCATCTCATGAGCTGGCAGTATTTGGGAAAATCTTTGATTCTTTAAGAGAAAAGTTTGCAAAAATTTTGTAAAAACACAAACTGTCCTTGTAGCTGACTTTAGCCATTTTCCAGCTACTCATAGTTTATTTTCAGTCTTTTAGAGAAACAGTAGCTGAATCAAATCGTCCATCTTGTCAGATGGTACACTGTCATATCCTTGGTTTATGGATCTCCCATGCACATACACTCAATTAGAATTTCTGAGTATGATTAACAAACAAAAAAATCTATTAAAGAAGAAAAATCCCCCACAGTTCCCTAGACAGATAAATTACATTTATTGATAAAACACAATAATTCTTTTACTTGAATTTCAAATGTTCATGAAAGGTGATAGAAATTGTGAGGATGAACTCTAAAATAAAAATTTTTATTCTGGAATTACAAAGATTAAAATTTTTCCTGGGAATAAATCTATTGAAGAGTCATATTTCCGATCAGACATGTCTTCTTAGGCTATCCTCTCTCCCATCGTAATTTTCAGCAAGGTCAGTATTAGGCTATCCTTGTTAGTCCAGGCCATTGACCTGTATGTCTAAAAAGATCAGGAGTTGCCTTATTGCACCTTGTCATCTGGAACACCACAGAGCAAACTTTTGTGAGTAAAATTTCATGCAGTTAAAGAAATATGTTTAAAAGAAAATATAAAATAAAGATCTTCTATACTTCTGCCATCAATACTGATGGAGTTCCTACACGGTTTAATTCAGCTGTTACCAGGGCATTTCTTTTTCAGATGAAAACAGTAAAAATCCTAACTGTTCTGTACCACAATAAATTGTCATGGAGATTTATGATGATTAATATTAAGAAAGCTGTCTGTTAGCAACAACACCATTACAAAAAAAAAAAAAAAATATATATATATATATAATAAAAAAAATTGTGAAGTTCCAGTACTTTAAGGAAGAAAAAAGTGTACCTGATCTAAAAGTCACCCATCTTATCTTCCAATATTCCCACAGAGAGGCTCATGGATATCTTCAGAACAGAAGTTACTCCAACTCAGGTATACACTTCCCATACCACAAAGCCTCTCCACAGGCAAGGATTTAATTCGGGTTAGTAAAGACACTGCATTCTAGGCTTTGAGCTTCATAAACTGTTCTCATCTCATGTTTGGTCATTCACGTTGGAGTTCAAATCTACACCAGATATCCCCTAGCAGTGTAATCCAGAAATCACTATGTTTCTGTCTCTTGGAAAGCAAGTCTTTCTTGTTGCATACAGAAAGAAATCTCTGTAATACCTAATGATGCAACTGATGCTCAAATTGAGATCTGATCTGTGATGGTTTTAATGATCTTTGATTCTTTATGGAATTGCTATAGGTACAATTGTTGCAGGACTCTCACTAACACTACCATTTTGTTCAGTCTACTAAAGAAACAGATTCTTTTTTAGTGTTTAGCACTGTTTACATTGCTTGTAATCTTTTCTGAATTTTATTTTCTTACTGCAAATTGCATACAATGAAAGAAGAAACAGCGTTCCTTTGCACCACTTTAGTTTCGGGAAACTAGAAATGTTTTCCAGCAAAAACAAAGTGTTCTAAATTAAGAACTAGGTCCTTACCTCATGTACTCACATTAAGCAGCACCTCATTCCTAAGGAGCCATTGATTTCATTTCGGTTATTCTGCAGGATGCAGATCACGATAGCTGAACGTTAAGTGCCTGTTTAAAGTCTGTCCTACACAGAAGAGCCTGCAAACTGATTCAGACCCAACAAACAAAAGAGATACTGTTCTGAACTAGAAACATAGTAATAGCCTTTCCTTCCGTAATAGTGCAGGAGTGATTAAGTAAAACCTTATAATCAAATTATTTGAAGATTATTTATTAAAACAGATTAAAAAGAGCTTTTACTGTAGCTACTTGTCTGTAAAATTTAACAATGTTACTGTTTGTCAGTTACAAATTTTATTTTTACTCTTTAGAGTTTATTTTATGAGGCATTCAATGTCATTTGCTAATGAAAACACTTGCTTTTACTCTGTAGAATGAATATAAAAGAAAAATAGATGTGGTCAGTTATCTACAATGACAGAAAAAACAAAACCAAATCAATTAAGTGAAGAAAAAGATAAGAAAAACAAAGGAAAATGAAACCTAATATTATGATTCTATGATTCTAAATCAGGAGTAAAAATTATGAAACAAATGTATAAAAAGAAGCCTGTCGGACTTCTCTGATTGTGCTATGTAATCAGAGCACATGATTCCATATGATTGAAATGACCTGTGACAAAAGGACAGTTAACTGTCTGTGAAATGTCAATCATCCTTAGTTGGAATGAACCTACTGATTCAAGACCTAGTCTTAATCCCAGAGGAAATCAGGGTAAAGTGCTCAAAAGTCGCTAGCCTAACAATGACACTTCCGAGAGAAAAGAAACTCCTCTTCACCACACTAACATCAATTAGTTAATGAGTTATGCATTCAATGTGCAAATCAGATAGGTGGAGTGTAATTGGTGAAGCAAATCATCCACTATTTTCTACGGTGCGGTTGTAAAACTAGAGGGCAAAACTGTAAGAGAAAGCTTTCTGTGAAAAGGAAAAAAAAATAAATATGCGTTTCATGAAGACATTTAAATAACAAGTTCAGCAGAAGTCATAGATATTACAGCACAATAATGAAAGTAATATTTTTGAGTGATAAAATCTTTTAATATACAATGCCAGAATGGGGTTGGTGGAGTAACGGTGCCACAGTGTGTGTTGCTAGTTGAACAACTATAGCCTGAGCTTGAACTCATAAATTTCTTTCTATCTGGGCCGCAGGATGTCCTGTATGTTGAGGAACAGTATGGTCTGACTGGTAAAAAGAGCATCTATATGCTATATAAAGCACACAGACCTGCATTAGTAAATTATATTTGTACAGTATGAAAATGTCAAAAGCTAATGTCAGATTTGTCATGAGAATCAACCCAGGCTGCACTGAGACATTGTAGGCAGTGCGTTACTCATTTCAGAGGAAAACTCAGAACCATTCACCTTGAGATGTTCATAACAGTGAGATGGATTCTCGTATACATTTTCCTTTCATCTCCCACACCGTTAGCACTGCTAACGTTCCACCAATTTATTTCCGGTTTCTGCTTTGTATCTTCTTATCATATTTGTATTTAGAGATACAGGGATATGGCAACAGACACCAATTAATTAATAGACACATAATAGCTGTCACGTAACATTTGCATAAACAGATAACACACTACTATGCTTCACAAGATTTAACGTTAAATCCTATGACAATTTCATTTAGCTCAAAGAGAGAACAGAATGTTTATGATAGTTTCCCATAAATCTTGAAAATATCTCTACAAATCATAATTACAGTATCTATAAATGTCTATAGAAATGAATACTAAATGGTTTCTATTATTTTTTTAGCTATCTTCTAGAATTAAATAAAAACTTAGCATTACAATATTATTCTCTATAACATTTTGCTGACCTTCCAAACAATTGTCTACAAACCTCAGTTACATATCCACAAAATTCACTACGGTGCTTAAATAAGAAATCTGACACATCATGTAAAAACAGTAATACATAGATCACACTATTACTCTCTTCCAGCTGAATTCCACCTTTATTAACACGATGTGCTGGTGAAACTAATGACCTTCGCAGCATGGACTGGCAGCACGCATGAAGTCTGGTGTTGTGCTACCATATGAAGCAATCAGAGCAACAGAGGATAGCAGATAATGCCTCTACCAGCAAAGCCCTGACATAACAGCTACTCATCAACTGTCTTATCAACTTCACAGACAATACTCAGATACGTAAGTACATTGAGGTATCTGCATTCGCCACCATTTGTGTCATTCCTATCGCATTCTGTGGCTCCGATATTCAAGGCTGCATGCAGAGAAACAGTACTGTAGTCATGCATATAACTTATTCATTGTTGCTTCTTAGAAGAGTGCTGCTAAGATTTACTCTGAAAAGATGACATATTAAAATACACTTAGTGTTAATAGTATAAAATGAAATATCAAACTGTGGGAGTAAATGCATACATATATGTGGTTTTGCTTTGTATAAAGTACAACTTAAAGAAAAAATAAAAACTACTTACACCAGAATAGAAAGGCTCACCAGACACACAGATCACATCCTGCTCCTGGATCATCAGAATATCTTTGGCTAAGTGCAGTCGCACTTTGAAAGGCTCCTGGTTACCATCCTGCAGCAAACAAATCCCTGTCTTTGTCTTCAAAGAAAGGGATAAAGAAAAAAAGTTTTCTCAGTTAGCACTTTGCATTGCTAGAAGTGGTACTGTGAAACAGAATAGATGAGAGAGAGGTACAGTTACCATAAACACACCAACATATACCCAAAACTATTACCGGTGGCTACTGTAACTATGCTCAGACTACAAGGGAACAATAAAGGCAGATTTTGCTATAATAAGATGCTGTTCTGCCCATGATAAATTTGTGAAACTCCCTTCAAATTTCTTCAGAGAAGCTGTGCGCTTACTTTCCATCTTTGTATTCAATGATGACACCTCACTTGGACATGAAATAAAAGCTGATGTTCCACATATTACACCAATTTTGACACAGGAATACATAAAATAACACCTCCAAACTAGACAGGTATGAGCACTGACAGCCTGCATGAATCTGTTGTGGGATTTTCCTGATCTGTGAACACAACACTGACTTACGCTTTTATTCCTTTTCAAATGAGTATGATGAAGTTAAGAATAAGAGAAAAGAGATCAAAGAATGCAATTCGCTCTAGTAATTTACTTCTTGCTCCACTTTTGCATTTTACATTTATGGTTAGAGAGCAGGAATTCTGTAGGATTCTTCAATATAAAATAAGTGACTTTCCAACAATTTAACAGTGTCTTTGTGGTAGTACGTATTTGTGCTACTTTTGGGGGCATTATACATAAGAGGTTTGATCAGTGAAAAAGTCTGCACATGTAAGCACCTTCAGTATTTAGTAGTTTTTCCTTGAAGGCTGAGTTGAAAACATCAGTCTTTATAACACTTCATAAATGGACAAGTGTCATGTTGGTAGAGCATTTTTGGTATGAGAAATCTGCTTACAAACAGTTACAAAATTTACCTTACAACATGTAATTTACCAATACTAGATACCTATACCCATTTGCATAGATACAGATATATAGGTATGCACGTATGTATCTCAGAAGAAAATTCATATATAAAAAGTATTTAAAATCTTGGATTCATCAGTGTCAATAATAAAAATTCCACTGTCTTCATTCAGGTCAGATTTCAATCCACTGCCTGTAAAAAGTTGGCTTGAGAGGAGATCAAGGAAGCAAAAGTCTTGCTGTGAACTTTAACTACCAAGGTTGACCTGGATGAATCTGAGGGCTCCTTCTCAGATAAGAGTTTAAAAGAGGATTTGGAAGATCTCCCCATAATGTGCTCTGATACCTTACATCCATAGCATTGAGAGAACAAGCACAAATATGGAACTGACAGTAGGCAACTGGTAGAAGAAAAGTTTAAATTGCTCTCAAAAGGCTTTAAAAGAGGTGGAAAGGTCGAGGACAACCTTTATATAGCTCTATATAATGTTCTCCAGTGACAAATTGTTCTGTCACTTCTGCTCCACACTCAACACTCAAACTTAGGAAATTGTTTTCCTTTGGACACCAGTAGCAATTGTGTGTAACTCAGCCATAACTTTGAAAGTGGTTCTGATGTTTTTATTCCTTTTAAACTAAGTAATAAGAAGAAAAAAATTGAAGAGTTCCATACACTGAACTCACCCTGAGGTCAGTGGAAGCTCTCATCAGAAGACATCATACAGCCTTGTTCTAGTACTTAGGTGTCTTTTTTTTTTTTAAAACAGGATGAGTTAAAAACTGATTTACATGGACAGACAAATCAAATAAATGGATCACGAAAGGAGATAGGTTTTCAGTACCACTGAAAAATTCCCTCTCATTTCGTACAGAAAATGTTATGACATTAAAATAAAGAGAATGTAAAATAGTTAAATTCCCCTGGTTCTCTCCTTATAAATTCGGCTTTACAGTCTAAGATGGCTCCTCTTTCCATGGAGTCGTGAACTAAGAAGTAAGCGACAATGGAAGTTGAACAAAGCAGGCTGTAAATAATGACGGTCAAATAAAATGGGCTAGCCTACAAACATGCCTTTCCTCCTCCCTGGATAACTGGCAATGGAATAAATTCTGCCACTGATACACTGATTACAGTAAATCTGCCTTACTTGACTGCACATTTCTGATTCAGTCAATAACCCAATAAAACCTCCAGAGTATTTCTGGAAAAGATGAGGGGCTTCTTTGTGGGAATTAGAGCCACATAACCGTAGCAGACACAATTAGCCATTAGAATAAAATAAAAATTCAAGTCTGTTTCTAAATGCACGTGGGCTGAACTTATTCAGTCTGAACAAGGAAACCAAGCTTGGGAATAGCAAAATATTTTGGCCCTTGGAAAGATTGATCATACACACTCAGGGATTTTATTTACATCCAACACTCTAAAATGTAATGAACCACTTCACTGTTGTTGAGCTTTATGAAAGCTGGTTTATGATACAGTTCAAAATTAAATCTTCAATTATACTACCTCCTTCCCTCTACTACCTGAGAGCAGCATTAACAACCATATAAAGGAGAAGAATGTAGTTCAGTTTTATTAAACAAGCTTAATAGAAGTCCTTGAGAACAAAGACTGGGATTTAATTATTTCATTATGTTTCTATTTTTTTTTTTCTGCTGAAACTTCTTTTCTCTTCTCTCCCCTGCTCCTTCAAAGCATCCAGTAAACTGAATCAATTAAAGATATGAGCTCCTGCATCCTTATCCAGAGCTGGAACTTAGGGAAGACATTCTGTATATATGCTTTCATGTAAATTACTATGCACATCAACATTTTTCATCCATGTGGCCCCAGAAAATTATTCTGGCTGGAGGGACATCATCTGTTTAGCCTATACCCCTGCCATCTTTTATATGTGAAGAGCTTAGATGGTGTTCATGTGTGTGTGTGGATGAGGTGTGGGGGTGCAGGGTTGTGGCTGATGTTAGCTTTTGTTCCCATTACTAACTTTAAGAGATTCCACGAGAGAGTGTGCTAAAATTTTCCCTTCGGTCCTTCTACTTTTCGCTGGAAGAGGGCTCTGCCCTACCCCTGACTTACAGCAATAAAACGGCATAGAGCACATCAGCCGAGCTACTGCAACTGTCAGTGTGAGGTCATGCAAGGCCTCTTGTGCTCAGATGTTTGATAAACTGAATCACCTTACAGCATACACGGATAGAGAAGCACAGTTCAGCTGATAACAGTTCGTTAACCTCAATTGTACGTTTGAGCCAACATCGCCAGGACCATAGCCCCGCTTACATTTACACCATCCTACTTTCTTCTTCCTATTTGTAGAGTTTGGCACCTGCTGTGAAGAGGGCAGGAAAACTGAGTGTTTGAAGTCGCACATGTTTATGAAGTGGATGAGGTAGGGTAAGGACAGGATATGGAAGCCATACGCAGCAGTGAAAGCATGTGTCTCCACATGGGAGGGGATTCAGCGACTTCAAGCACAGTCAGTGCTGAGGGTGGGTAGCGGTACCTGAGCGACAGACCCAGAGAATGTCGCACCTGAACAGTACCGCCTCTGCCGTCTCATTCTACACCCTTTTAAGCTGAGTTAGACAAGAACACTAACGCGGCGAGAGCTGATGGCAGGAGTTTAGAAACTGCTTACTGTTCCTGAACTAACGTAACTACGAGCGGGGCTGAAAACTGATCCCTCAGCTTTACAGACAGCAGCCTGTGTTGAACTTTCTGCTTCATACCGCTATCAGAGAACAGGATAGGTTGGAAGAGCCCTAAAGGAAGACTGCTTCTACAAAGAATATGGTCGCATTCCGACCATTATTAGCAACAAGGCAGTCAAAAAAGGCCTTTTAAAAATCTTTTTCCATTATACCGTGATTTACTGCACATTGTCCATATTGGCTGTGTATAAGATCTGGCGCTACAATCTCTCCTAAAAGGGATTTAGAAATGCTTGCATACCACGAACAGCTTGGTGCAATATATACAGCCTTCACAAATATTTAAGAATTAATTTCACATGAAATACACGTGAAAACTACACTTTATACATTTATGCTAGCAATAGAGTCTCTACCAAACTTATACCAAAATTAATAGTGTATGAGGAACACTTTTAAAGTTACCTATTGATTTAAAAGTCAATTTCCTTCAGGACTTACAACATAAATGTTTTTTAATTTATCTGGCGTTAATAAGGCCACTGGTAGGTTTTCTGTTGAAGAAGTTCTCTGTTTACATTTTTCCCTATTTGTTGCTTTCCTTGTCATTTACCATAAAAAAAAAAAAAAAATAATCTAAAACATTTTCTGTGTTTTGTTCTGGAGGAGACATTCAGTATGTCAGTCAGTTTTAAATACTCTCCTTTAGTTTTCAAGACATGATTATAGCATTTTGTTTATCCTATTTTATCTATTTCTTTTGCCTTATATTAATAAAACATTTTGATTAGCTTTGCTTCTTCTAGTTTCACATCAGTAGGAAGACTTCAATAGATAACCCACAATAGTTTGTTCCATGCAAAAGGAAGAGAAAAAAAATCTCTCATCACATTTTCTATCCAAGACAGTCTGGATTTTCAGTTTCTGCTGTGGCTGGTATGTCCTAAAATAAATTAAACCTCTGCAATTTAGTTTTAAACCCTGAACTGTATTTCTATCATCATTTGATACCAGTAAGGAGAATGGGTGTAGAAATTGCCTTAAATATGTACGTAGTTCACTTCAGATGAGTATCTACACTTTTGGATGCTTATTTGAACTGTGTCTGACCTCTGACTATTTGGAGATATGCCTGTCACTGCTTTATAATCACGAGTATAATAATAAAAAGGGAAATTGAGTCAGAGATACAAGGCGGTAATGGCAATGGATACAAGAGGTAGGAACATGTGTCAGAACCACACAAAGGATGTTTTTCAAATGGTCCAGCTACTCATTTTGTGAAGGTGTTGCTAGCATAAGTGAAAAGCACTTATATTGTCAAAAATTGGAATGCAGCCCAGATACACAGGAATGTGTTCAGCTTGTCATTCAGAGCCTCTTCTATCAGATACCAACATTTTCCAATCCAAAGAATAGCAAGTCCATTCCTGCACATGAGTTTTACACTCCAAGCTGAAAGAACAGGAAAATGTTGA